GTGTTCTGCTCTCCACCCCCAAAAGTCCCCCAGCCAGCGATGGCTGGCTGGGGAATTCTGGGAGTTGAAGTCCAGACATCTTCAAGTTGCCAAGGTTGAGAAACACTGGCATATACTACTGTGCAACAACATTCCCCAGGGAGAGAGAGAAACTGCGTAGGATCCAACAGGCCAAACTCAAGCGAAGGGAAATACAGGTAGTCCTCGAATTACGAGCACAATTGAGCCCCAAGTTTATGTTACTGAGTGAGAAATTTGTTGAGTTTTACAACTTTTCTTGCCACAAGTGAATCACTGCAGTTGTTAAATGAATCTGATTTCCCCAACTTTGCTAGTCAGAAAGCTGCAAAAGGTGATCACATGAGCCCAGGACACAGCAACCTTCCTTAAGGTGAGTCAGTTGTCAAGCATCCAAATGTATATCACGTGACTGAGGATGCTGCAATGATCATAAGTGTGAAAAAACGGTCATTCTTTTTCAGTGCCGTTTTAATACTGAACCGTCATTAAGTGTAAGTCGAGGACCCATACTCAAGCACTATCTTCCGAGCCTCAAGCTACGCCGTGCCAGCATTTAGGGCAACGGATCTGTGTAGTAGCTGACAGGCGATCCTCTGCTTCCCAAACAAGGAAGTGAGCCTCAGAGGAAGATGGAAAAAGTCGGAGGGGCAGGAATTTCCTCCAAGAGGCGCCTCGTCCGCATCGCCAGCCACCGCCTCGGCTGCGAGCGAGACTGTCAGGATGGCAAAGCAACCGCTTGGCGACGCTTTGGTGCACTCAGCCCGGATGTGAGGTGTCCCTGACTCAGCTTCGGTCACCAGTTGCAGCTCATCGGCGAAAGCGACCCCCGGGCTGCAGGCGAGAAACTTCGGGGGTTTCTGCGCTGCAAGGATCTAGCCACCTGGCAGCAGATCCTTACCGGGTTGGGGGGGGGGGAGCAGAGAGAAGATGAGACGCGCAATGCAAGGCGCACAACGTGCGAGAAAAGGCTGGTGCTTTGTTAATAGTCTGACTTCAGAGGAATCAAACACAAGACTCGATCGTTGAAAGAACGGATGTCGAAACACAGTTTTAGGTCTCTTCTGAAATGCAGAGGAGGGCCGGGGCCATAGATACCGCCACCCTTACTATAGTATGCCTCCTCGGAACTCCGCTCAGTGTGTTGCGGATCAGCTGAGTGATTCCGTCATTAACGATGACAGGGCAGATCCGTAAAAGCTTCTCAAGAAACATTGAAGGGGAGGCGTATTTATTCCTTGGGCCCCATATGGCTTTCGGTCTGGATAATATGCAAAAGAACTTGAGAAGTTTTGTTGTTGTTGTTGTTTAAATAGATCATCCTGCAGAAAACTAGCGTTTTAGCGCGATTCTCCTGCCATAATGTATTTTAACTACAAGAAATGGCGCGCTGCTAAGCCATTGAAAGAAAACGACGAGGCTTGGTTGTTCACCTTTGTATAGTGTGGACCCGAGATCAAGCATGTAAACAAGACTCTTCCCGGAGCGCCTATCCCCCCTCCCCTTCCGGAAGCAAACCACGTGACCTCTGAAGGCCCCGTTTGTCTGCAGCTCAGTCAGCTGGCGGTTCAGTGGCTGGAAGAGCTGGTGGGGAGGGCGCCTTTCTATTAAGACCTGGCTTATTTGACTGAATTACGCCGACGTATGCTTTTCGGTTGCGATAATTACTGCATGACACCCACATTTAGTCATGATGAATGTGCTCGTTAAAATTCAGGCTAAGTGACGGGCTATTAACGCTTGAGCAAGAAGGTGCTTTTCCATCCCAGATGAAAAGCGCCTTCTTACGGGAAGGAAAAGAAGCCTTCTCTGTCCCTCAGGGTTGGAGAGCAGCCCACGCAGCAGTGCCTAAATTGCGGCTCCGGTGACCCGAGACTCCGGTGGGTCTCATTCGGCTGCAGTTGGATCCGTCCCAGTAACGCTGCTAAGATAATACGGAGGAAAACAAACGCGCTGCACACGTTGTGTTTATTCAATGGTGTTGAATGAAAGCCGTGAGACTAAAAACAGGTCACGGGGTTCGGACACCCCCCCCCCCCCACAACCTTAAATGAGCATGTGTAAAATATATGGAACACATTTCATTAGTAGAAGCGGAGTGGTGGGAAAGTAGTGTAACTATGGGACCGGCGACTTACCCTACGTGTAAATTGGAACTGACGTAATGTTTTTTTTCTCCTCTCTCTCCAACTCCACATCTGAACAGACGGAAGAAACCGCACTGTTCGGCAACTCTCCTGATTCTCGCGTTACTTAAACACACAGACACACACACCCCTGTCCCAAGTTAAGCCAACGCAACGGTTCATCTTGTAGCTGGGCTCTTTTTAAGTTAGCAGATCGCATGTATCCCAAAGCGCGGTGATGTAGATTCCGAGGGGGTGTGTGTTAAAACAGATTTGGAATATAGGATTCAGAAGGGGATGGTGGTAGGGTTTTTCTTTTAATAGGAATCCCCCCCCCCCAAAAAAAGAGTAAATTCGCGCAAAGGGTTTGAGGGGTTT